CCCGGCCGCCCCGCCCCGCCCCTCCCCTTCCGGCGGCCGGCCGGGTCCTGCAGCCTGCGGGAAAGCGATTCCGGACGTTGCGTAGCCGGGGTCCCAGCCTCCTGGTGGCCGCCCTCTCGCGGAACTTCCGTTCGCAGCGCCTGCGAGCGCCGATCTGACCGGGCTGGGACAGTGCCGGCTCCGGTCACGTGGGAACCCTACGGCAGGGACGGGATCAAATGCAAGCGCGGGCTCTAAGAGTGTCTTGTCGCGGGAGAAGAGCCGCCTTATGGTTCCCGCTCCGAAGCCACTCCCAGGATGTCAGAGCGCCAGGAGTGGTGGCTGTCGTTCTAGTGTTGCTGGGGTTGTGTTGACAACCCAGGGACAGGAGCCGAGGGGTGGTGGCCCAGCCTGGTCTACAGAGCGACTTCCAGGACAGCCAGGGCTACACGGAGAAACTCGAAAAACCAAAGAAAAGAAAGAAAACCCAGAGACATGCATTGGTGATATGAAATGGCCAGAACTGGAAAATTCTCACTTTCTTTTTGCTTTGCCCCTAGAAATGTTTTTATGGAAAAGATTAAAGCTAGGAAAAATATATGTGCAGGACGCAGGCAAACTTCTGTGAGTTTGAGGCCAGTTTGATCTCCGTAGCAAGTCCCAGGACACCCAGGGCTTTATTGTGAGTCCCAGCCTCAAAGAAAACAACAGCACCCTGGAGGCTGAGGCAGAAGGATCCCGAGTTAAAGGCTAGAGTGGGTTGTGCTTCAGTAAGCCTGGTTAGGGAAGTACTCACTTGGCGGAGTGCCTGCCTAACATGAATGAAGCCCTGGGTTCCATACCCAGCACAGAAAAAGCTGGATATATTGAGTGGCGTATTTTATAATCCTGGTACTTGGGAGGTAGAGGGAGGGTCAGAATTCCATGTCTGTGCAAACATCTGAACTGCTACCTAGTCAAGGTACTCGGATGCCAGATATGTTTTTTGTTTTTGTTTTTCGAGACAGGGTTTCTCTGTGTAGCTATGAAGCCTATCCTGGCACTCGCTCTGGAGACCAGGCTGGCCTGGAACTCACAGAGATCCGCCTGCCTCTGCCTCCCAGTGCTGGGATTAAAGGCATGCGCCACGAACGCCGACTCGGATGCCAGATATGTAAACATGTTCAGCATAAACATTATTAGCAGTCACAAATTAAAACATAATTTCACACTGCTTCTACAATAGCCCAGACCTACAGTTCCAACAATACAGTCTGCTGGTGAGGTTTTGGTGCAGAGAAAACTGTCAACGCTGATGAGAAAATGAAAACATTGTGTATGCGCCACTTCGGAAGACAGCAGGACTACTCCTCTACTCTTAATATATGGCCAATATTTACTCAGATTAGTTGGAAACTATGTCTACAGAAAATCCGGCACAATAATGGTTTTATCAGTTCTATCCATGCTTGCCTAAGTATGGAAGCAGCCAAGATGCCCTCCAACAGGAGAACTGATAAACTGGGTGTTTACACAGTCGAATGCTTTTCAAGTAAAAAAAAAAAAAAAAAGAAAGAAATGAACTATTAAGCCATACTAGGACATAGGAGAACCTGAAAATGCATAATGATAAGTGAAGCCAGTCTGAAAAGATGGTACAATGTAAACCCTGACTACATAGCATTCTGGAAAAAAGCAAAACTACAGAGATTTTAAAATGTTTACTGGTTCCAAGAATATGTGTGGGATGTCCCATACTGTAGTAGACCGGAGGAATTTAAGGCAGTGGAATGTTCTTCAGGGTGCTGTGAGAGGAATACTTAATATGTATTTGTCAGAAATATTAGACCACAGTGAGTGGACTCTCATAAACTGTGGACTTCAGTTAATAATGTATCGATATTGTTTCATTAACTATAACAAAGTTACCATGAGAATACAAAGATATGGACCTGGACGAAAAGTGAAGACCATTGGTTTAATGTTTGGAGTGGAAAACTTTTTTTTTTTTACTTGTGAGACAGGGTTTCTCTTTGGCTTTTGAGGCTGTTCTGGAACTAGCTCTTGTAGACCAGGCTGGTCTCGAACTCACAGAGATCCACCTGCCTCTGCCTCCCGAGTGCTGGGATTAAAGGCGTGCGCCCGGAAAACATTTTAAATTCCTGTGTAGTTTGAATTTTTTATAGAATAAAGGCTTCTAAGGTTGGAAATAAAGTTCACTTGGTAGAATCCTTACCAGGCAATCACAAAGTCCTGGGTTTGAGCTCAGACACCAGGTAAACTGGATATGGTGGCACTTGGATGGATGGTAGAGGCTGGAGGATCAGCTCAAGGTCATTGTTGGCCACACATTCAGATTGAGGGCTACATGTTCCCCAAAATTACACTTTAAATAATGAGGACCCTGGGCCAGGCAGTGTGTTGGCTCTTGCCCTTAGTCCCAGCACTGGGGAGGCAGAGGCAGCTGATGTATGAGTTCAAAGCCAGCCTAGTCTACTACCTTAGCAAGTTTGTGCATAGCCAGAGCTACATAATAGGGAAACCCTGTCTCAGAAAACCCAAAAGAAAAGGGAAACCCCTGGTTTTGAGGGGGCTGAAGAGATGGCTCAGTTTAAAAGCTGCTCTTGCAGAGGAACTGGGTTCATTCTCAGTATCCACCTGGTGGCTCACACACTCTAGTTTCAGGGGATCTGATTCCCTTTTCCGGCTTTCCTGGGCACCAAGCATGCACGTGATGCTCATATATACATGTGTGAAAAACACTCATACACGTAAAAAAAAAAAAAAAACTAAAAAATTGTACAACCAACAATCTGAAAGGTTGAGGATGTGAGGGGTAGTTCCCACACTGTCGCTGTAGCCCCAGCTGCCCTTGACCCTCGGCCTTTTAGGATACGTGCTTCTGACCAGCGTGAAGTTACAGAGCACAAGCAGGATTGGCACGTGGCACCTAAAATTTCGCCCATGAAACTTTGCTGGAGATAATTTCCTAATCTTAGCAGGTTCTGTGTGGCAGAGAGATACATGGTGACTGGCAAACGCATCCACGATAACACCGAGTAAGGTTCAGACACAGAGGGAGCACACACGATCCCACCATCTGACATACTGAAGTGGCAGCCCTCCCCTTTTGTTTTTAGAGACAGGGTTTCTCCATGTAGCCTTGGCTGTCCTGAACTCACCCTGTAGACCTGCCTAACCTCGAACTCAGAGATCCGCCTGCCTCTGCTGTGCTGGGATTAAGGCGTGTGCTACCATAGCCTCGCTAACTTCATTTTTTTTAAGTAAAAAAAAAAAAAAATTGTGACGAGGTCTAGCTAGTGTGGGCGGCATAGGACTCGTTATGTAGACAGGACAGTCCTTGAACTCATGGAGATACACCTGCTTCTGCACGTGCCGCCACGCCCGGCTTTTCTAGGTTTTTTTTTTGGGGGGGGCAGGCATGGAGGTGTGCATGGCTTCTTCACCACGTGTGGGCACGCCCCTTCGGGGCCACACAGCAACAAAGAGCATCAGTGTTTTAACCAAGGCCCGCGCGAGTGGGAGCGTGTGTATGGGAGGGTGTGGCGGGTGTGTTTATGCGTGAGTGTGTGTGAGGGTGTGGCGGGTGTGTTTATGCGTGAGTGTGTGAGCGTGTGTGTGTGTGAGGGGGTGGCGTGCGTGTGTGAGCGTGTGTGTGTGAGGGGGTGGCGGGTGTTTGTGTGTGTGCGTGTGTGAGGGGGTGGCGGGTGTGTGTGTGAGCGTGTGTGTGCGTGTGTGAGGGGGTGGCGGGGGCGGGTGTGCGTGGGAGGGGGCGGGGGGGCGTCT